ACAAACACCATCAAGCTTGCATGTCCCCCTGAAGAGATACCCAGCCCTCATCTCCCTGGATAATCAACAAGGCTGGTTACCAGAGTGGAGACCAGAAGATACCAGCCTGAGGAATTGAGATATTCCCGAGGAGCCCTCTGGCACACAGCGACACGCTAGAATGTCACCTCCTGCCCTCTCTGGGAGGCAGTTTCTGTGGAAATGCTGGTTTCAATGTGTCCTTTTGTCGCAAGACATAAATGTCCTTGATATACTCCACCAACACGGTGTCTTTTATTCCGGCCCTGGCACCCACTGAGAGAATGAACCCAGTGGGTTCGATTTCAGAGCCCCCGTTTCCAGTCAAGACTGCAGATGACCAAACACTGCTCTATTTGAGCTGATATTCCTTGGGAGAGACTGGAACCTGAGTGGTCCAAAATCACCTACCCTGGACTCAAGAAATTGTATGGGATAAGTTGTTTTAAGCTGCAGTATTGTAAGGGTAAAAGACTTTATAGCAATACACAGTCTCATGAGTACATACCATACCATGTAAAAGGACTAGGGAAAATGTGGGGGAATTGGCATTCTCATATCATGATTATAGCTTTGGATCCAGTGATGCTGAGGTAAGATCTTATATGCTCATTGTTGGTGAATTACTCTTTTGGGGGGTAGTTCCTGTAGCTAGTATTTTAATTGCTGTTTCTAAGTAGCTTGGATTTTTTTGTGGTTGACCACACACTAGGTAAAACTTACTCTGACTCAGCAAGGGTGAGGAATCAATTACATGCAATTACATGAAGGCATGATGCTTGACTCATTTATTTTCCTAAGATTTTAGTCAAAGAAAAACAGATGTGTTCTGTTGGGTTAGTTCCTAGTCCTACTAGGCGAAGACTATATCAAAGAAACTAAGAACATCTCTAAAAGGTTTGGTTCAGGTAGATACTTAGGGCGAAGTCCTGAACTAACCGAAGTTGTTATAAGTGCCAATGTTCTCCAGTTACAAAAAATTCTTTTTAAAGATTTATTTATTTATTTATGCATACAGAACTGGGGTCCAGGCCAGAGGTACAGGGGTGATGAGGATTCACAGGAGCCAGAGTGGGGAGCAGAATAGGCAGATGGACGAAATACACTGCTGAGGGGAGCAGCAGGTGGGCCAGGGGAGGTCTGCCGCGCCATGTGGGTCACCTCTGGGACCAGGGTGGGGATTGAACTCACACCAAAGAGGTTGCAGCCAGCTTCACAGTGCTGCGCTTTAACCAGCTGCATCACCAGCAAGGAGCCAGTTTTAAAATTTAAACAGTTCCAGGGGCCTCCCAGGTGACACAGGGATTAAAGATAGTGCTATCATGTTATCGTAGCCCCTGCAGCATGACTTTTTTCTATTTTATTTTATTTTATTTATTTTTTATTACAAAGTTTATTTTTACATCATTTTGCACATTTTTTTTTCCATCTCGATTGTAATCCCCGCGGGTTTCCCATCACCAAATC